AAAGAGTAATAATAATATTTTGTCGTTTTTTTCACTCATAGAACAATATGTCTATACTTATAATACAATAATATAACATGTACCATGCGGGTCAAGCCGGATGATATAGAAAGTAGAAACCAGGAACACACAACTCACATCAATACAGGGTGTGCTGGTGATCACAATTATTATTGTCTAAGGAAATTGATAATCGTTGGTTTAAAGTATGTAGGTACACGCACGATATGTCTACCTAAATGAATAGAGCGGACCGCCGGGCCGCAGTGTTATAATCATATTCCAAATAAATAATAAAAAATAATAGACCGGAAAATTCGGAGGTCCACTCCTACTTAGTATAGTAAAGAAAATGATAAGCTCGGACTTTAGACTAAGTTTTTACGTGAACTCGTTTGTTCTTTGACATGCAAAACAATAAATGTTTTAACCACCAAAAAATGACTATCATTTATCAGCAGTCGGCGACACGAAGTCACGCTTGGCCCAAGAAAAATGTTTTTGCTCAAATATTGTAATATTATATTTTTTTAATTGTGCCACACGTATACTCGACGTGTAAAATGATCGAATAACAAACCCGACCATAGTATAATAACATCATGTTCTAAACTATTTTCAGCACGTCCATATAATTATATTGATGTAATCGTTTCAGGCTCACCACTCGGCGTATTTAAATAAATGGCTCGCCCGTTCAAGTCCCATGTCCACACTATATTTAAATCGACATTATACTGCTGATCTTATTAAATGTTTATAAATAACATATATTCCGATAAACTGGGACAAGTGCAATACAAATTATAATAAAATGAAAACCACTATGTAATTGTATGCGTGTTATTATTTTTACTGTTACTAATATAATAATTATTAACATCATGTTTTTTTCGAGTTTTTTTACGACGGTTTGCAGTCGAAGATTTCTTTCGATACGCTTTCAGGAAATTGGAGATGAATGTTTAATTTTTGATACTGAATAATAATTTTATTATTGACAACATTCAAAACACAAAATATAGGGAAATAATTATCATATCTTAATTTTGATACCTGATGACAAAAACCGAGGGTAACGAATTTGCATATCAATGTCTAAGGAGCTAAAAGAGCAATATTGTCTATGAACGCACCATCTATAAATATTATAAAATACATAGGTAGCAGACACAAAAATCAAATAAAAGATCAAATTATGATTAAATGATAAGAACAGAACTCAAAACTAAACTAAGGGAAATAAAAATGATAATTGAATCGCTAATCCAATTTAAATAGAAAAAAAAACAATAATAAACAGACTTTGTATTGTTTATACTCGTGGGTTCCTAAACTCCTAACAGCAAAAAATGGCAGATCTAGATGTATAATACGTGGAACGATACATATATAGCGAAACACATCATAACAGATCATAGACCTTAAAAGCTCCAACATACCACACAAGTACACAATTAATTAGGATTTATAAATAAAACCAAATTTCTCAAATTAAATATATTCAAATTCAAATCTATAAAATTAAAAGGAAAAAAAACTGTTACTGAAATTATAGGCAAACTACTATTTTGATGTTGTAAAATATATGACTTAAGTAATTTGAAATCGATTATATTACAAAAAAAACTAAAATAGAATGTTATAAAAATTACATCATAATCCTCACTATCGTATATTCGGTTAATAAAACCTATTGACATTAAATACAATAGGTAATACTTGTATCAATGCTCCAAAATACTTGGGACACAAGAATATTTCTCAAGCAAAGCAGACAACCCACGAGAAAAAAATTCTCGTTTTTATCGCATACAAAATTTAATATCATAAATCTAATCAACGAAAAATTCCACGAGGTTCCGACAAAGAGATCGAAACCACTTTATTTCGCAATATTTTCGTATTTTGAAATTTGTTGGGAAATCGCTTGTTGGTTTTAATTAAACACATTTTTTTAAAGACTGAGTTTAGTTTTTTCAATAGCCCATTCCTTATTCTCTGAATGTTTTCTATTTCGATACTAACGATTATATTATATTTAGTATTTACACTACCTACCAACTGTTATTTACACAAGCTAAATACATGTTTAGCGAATAGCTAGTTAAAATATAGTTATACATATAGTTGCATAATTATTATGTATAGGTAAATGAAACTTTTGCGACTCTGCTAATGTTCTATTTCAATAAACCCATAAAACGTGTGATTCAAAGTTCAACAGTCGAAAGCCTTAAAATTACGAGTGGTACGACGCAATGAATAAAAATATTCAAAATATTCTATGCCAAAGTTTTTAAAACATATTTTCAAACTGCATATGAAATGTGTTGTTTTTTCTTCTGGTCAACCGTATAATGTATCATACGTTTTGTAAATGTAAGTTGTTTTTTAGATTGTTATTGACGTTTTATGTAATACGAGGTTTTCACACGGAAATTTAGTACTTTTATAGTTGTATATGCAATAATAATATTATAATTATTATGTACCTATACTTACACAGTAATATTATAAACCTTCATTGAATTCTATAGTATGCGGTTTAACATTTCATAAACTTGATCGTTGACAAACGCGTATGCTAAAACATATTAAGTATGACACATGTACAACTGGTTTTATGTAATACAAACGAAAAACATTCATTTTTTTTTTTTTATCAGTTTATTCGTAATTCTATTAAAATCTAGACAAGTATGATAGACTCACTAGCCAAAATAGTTTACATTTATAATGGAATATTAATATGTATTCATTTTCATTATAATAGTTTATTTTTGTGTTAAATTTATTTAATATAAAAACGAAATTTGAATAATTTATTATTAAAAGCAGCAGGCTGCTCAAAATTGTAAAGTATATTTTTATATGTATAGGTTATATGTATAGGTATATAATAATATTGCTATTAATAATTTTCTGACCTACATATGCGTATCATTCTATCAATATTAATTTTGAGTTATTTAATGACCTGAAATTTGACGAGTGTTATTGACTGATAACATATTTTATCACTAATTGGCGAATTTTATTTGCGTTTATCTGTATGTAAAATTAGAACGGCATTTTTTTTTGCACATTTTACGATAACTCATTGAATTCAAATTACATGGTGAGCAATTTATGTATAGCACTTATATATTTCGGTCTTTGGACCATAGTGTACTTATTGAGTATTTCTAAACCATACCATTTACATAATGTTTCAAAAACGTTGAGGTGTACACTTTTAATGGTACCTATTGAGTGTATCCGTTTGTAATAATTATATGGAAATTTACTGATACCATTGCCTCATTGGTACAAAGAATTTGTAAATAAAATAAATAAATTTGACCTTTCAATAATTATTATTTGTTGAACATTTAGTGTACAAATTAAATCAGATTTTAATTGTATAGTACCTAAGTAGTATATTATTTTATATTAAAATGAGTTGTATAAATAAAGTTTATATTTGTAATAACTAATAAGGTACATATTTACAATAGTACTTTTGTTTCATTTTTATTTTTATATCACATCCATTTTTGTATAATTTTAAATTTTAGTTTACGTCTTAAGAATAACTCAATAATATTGAACAGTTTATGTTAACATACCATTTTCCAAACAAATATATATTGTTGTTTGATGTACCTACCTATCAGAATTAATATTGACATCATGGAATAATGTAAATTTAAAAAAACGATTCTAACCTATAAATATTATTCTTGTGTTATTAAATTTCATTATTATTATGCAATAACCGTTTGGTACTTGGTATAGACTAAACATTTGTCGTTTCTCGTTAATTAATGACGTCCGAGTAAGGCAAAAACCAATTATATAAATTTAATTTGGTGGAATTTCAAAAAGTTATTTTTTAAATAATGTATTGAAAAACACGTTTATTTTTAGGTACCTATTAGTATAATAAATAAAACAAATAGAGAAGGTTTGAAGTATAAAAATAGTGTGCATGGAACGTGTCTAAAAAACATAAACTGTTGTTATTTTTGTCGTATTTACAATAGAATAAACCGTAGATAGGTGTATTGTATAATACTACCAACCATTATTATGTACCTATGTACATATAAATTCGAGAACAAATATTGTGTGGAAATAATATACACATTTCTATCAAAATGAAAAAAAATAACAGTGAATTTATGTTGATTTATTATCACTGATAATATGATAAATATGCGCTCGTAAAAATTGTCGATATAGGTCAAAATATACACAGATATAGTACGATGCGCTTACACACTGCACACACACTTATTTATATATATAAGTGCATTAAAATATACAATCGAACTGTCTGTCGTTAGTCCAGGCCGGTATAATATTCTAAATGGATAAACCGATTTTGACTGGGTTTTCACTGCAGACAAATTTTTAGTTCAGATATGTTTAAGTTTCCTAAAAATGACTCTTGAAACTATAGGGGCAACATTTGAACTGTAACCGTCATTAATTTATAATAGGTATTTTTGTCACGGACAGCTCTTAGAAACACAAATCGTCTAGTGATTTTTTTTTAACTTATAACAGAAACTTCAGTATAGGTTTGAAGCATAGTTTTATAGACCAAACTCTTGTTCCGGGAAAATTGAGGGAGGACAGATAGTGATACACCCGTGTCGCCATCTGCCGAACCGCTTAAATGATCGAGTTAAAAATTAGTGTTGCAGTTTATTTCACTTGTGGAGGTACGCCTAAACTGCCTAAACAGATTATCACATGGAGTTACTACACTTAAACCGAAATATACCAAGTTGTAATTTGTAATTATCGTTTTTTTCCCGGGCGAAGTCGGGTTGTACGACTACCTAGTAAACATAATATAACACTACTCAGTGTGTTTTTTAGGTGTGCAGAGAAGTCCACTTTAGTTGTTCGCTGGTTGTACCGATGTTTAGGTTAGCGTGCATGTAATTGAGAGATCGGAGATAAGAGAAAAGTGAGAGGGTGTGTGACGTGTGTGTGAGAAAGAGTCGATGACACAGTGGCGCCAAGACGTGTCCAATACGAAGACGCTGCTAAAAATCCAAACCGGACACTCGGACAACATAACTAGGTGTCCCTTTTGCCACTACGATGAAACAAGTGGCGACGACGGTAGTGGCAACGATGAAAGTCGTGGTTGCAGTGGCGTCGTCGACGGCTGCTCTCGTGTAATCGTGGAACGGCCAAGGGCAAGCAGTAGGTTCGGTTTCGGAGAGGCGGCGAGGCCGTGGTGAATCGATCACTGCGGTCCACGGTCATGGACCTCCTCACTCCTCCACCGCACACTGCTACGATTGACCTGTACACACGCACATAAATTATTATTATCATCATCATCATCATCGTCTCAGTCGAAGTCGTATAGTCGCAGTCGTAATTGTGATTATTATTATGATGATGATTATGCTACGGATATCCTGAGGGGTAAGAGCCGGATTGATACCAGACAGCAGGATACCAAACAGTGCTCAGCTGTACGGCAACGGCGGCCGATGATTACGAGGATATAATAGTAATAATAATAATAATAATAATAATAATAATAATAATAATAATCATAAATTAACGAGACGGCAATGGTTCCGGGGGTACTGATTTTTTTTTATCATTATTACTACACACCGATAGGCGCGCCCAGTAAATAGAGGGAATAATAAGCGCATAGATGCAAAAAAAAAAAAGGTGGGCAAGTGGGTGTCGCTCTGCTGTACAGTAGGTTACAAGTGGGTCACTGTATAATGGATGGTATTAAATTTGAATTCAATGATATAATATCATTGTATAAGAAAAACGACTCTGAGCGGTGACGGTATGTCAGTGTATGTATAAGACATATTATATACTTATCTATGGTATTAAAAAAATTGACCTATAATGAATTCCAAATTAATCATATCACAATATCCATTAGGTACTTATAACGCGTTATACATCAACAAAAACCGTGATACTATCATAGATATATAATAGTACACTTTAGAAGTTTCAAGTACCCACGAATAATATTATTCAATCACAACAAAATAACTAAAATAGTTATTCTAGGTTTTTTAATATGTAATTTCGTCCAAATTTGAATTTAAAATGTCTGTAAAAAATAACTGTGTTCATATATTTTTTAGATTTTTTTGGTTACAGTATGAACTATTTATGAGAACCTTTGTTTTAAATTTGCAATCCTTAGCTATGAAAACTGAACATTTTATAATTTATTAATTACAATGATTCGTAATTTTCGAAATTTTGATAAATTTTGTCAAAATTTGATCTTTAAATGCTTATAAAAAAAAACTGTGCCTATGTATTTTTAAAATTTTTCAACTGCTATTATAACAATATATCAGGAGCCTTGTATTAAATTTTTACACTTTTTGGCCCAACAGATAAAACTTTATTGATATTTGTAGAAAAAAAAACTAAAAAAAATTGAAAGCTGTAAATGTTCATAAACAGCTCAAAAAGAGTCAAAATATTTTCAAAATTGTATGGTGTATAGAAAATGCTAATTTAAACATTCAGTGAAATTTTCATGTATCTACAGTTGTTCGTTTTTGAATTGCAACAAAATAAGGAAATCGCTACATGAGTAATCGAGTGAAAATCCAATGTTGTAAAAATTTGAATTTCAAACGCTCATAAAAATTTAATTTGACTGTCCGGTTATGGTTAACTTTAAATGCTTATAAAAAAAAATTGTGACTAAGGATTTTTAATATTTTTCATCTGCCTTTGAAACAACATATTAGGAGCCTTCTATTAAATTTTCAAGCTTTCGCAACCAACAAATAAAATTTTATTGATATTTTTAGAAAAAAAACTAAAAATAAATGGAAAATGAAAATGTCCCTAAACAGTTCAAAATAAATCAAAATATTTTGAAAATTTTATCGTGTATAGAAAATGCAAATATAAACAACCAGTGAAAATTTCATGTATCTACGGTCATTTGTTTTAAAGTTACACCAAAAACCAAATTCGATTTTGTCAAAAACTGATTTTGCGTAAAAATTCCCGTTTTTCCTTAATTTTTATGTTGTTTTTCCCGGCGCTTGTGAAAACTATTGGGAATTTTAAATTTTGACCTCCCCAATGCACCAACGATATTCACTTTCCAATCGAACAAGATACTGAAGTCGAAAATCGAAGCATTATTTCGATTACTTATCGTGTACACAGACACAAAAATAAAAAATAAAAAAATTAAAAATTAAAAAAAAAAAAAACACACATCATTGTAAAATCAATACATTCATCGTTTCACTCAGAATCTAAAAAAGAATAGTGTACTTACGTATATCAAATCAACATTCCTAGGTAAATATTCGGACTGGAGTTCAATGGGATTTTCTGCCCTTTTATAAACCAACGAAGGATTTCTATTAACGCACTATATACCTATACATATTATATACTTATACGTGACGAGTGTACACGATAGGCACGCGCTTACTGTCGATGGTACTTAAGATGTAATACCCGACGAAACCGCATCCGAAAGAGAATACTAATGTTTTTAATTACGCGAAAAAAATATAAACAGACCAGCAATTCTTCTTCCAGAGACTATTGTGTAAAATAGTCTCCACCAAAAATACACTGTTGATCAGAGGCTTAACTTTAACGTTTCGACCCGTGAGTGAGATTTTAAATGAACTCCTTTCAGTCCCAACACTTTGTGTTGATCTGGCTGAATTTAAAATAGAAAGCATAATATTTTCTTTGGGATTTACTATGTATGCAATAATAGTTATTTCGTTAAAAAAACAAATGGTCGTCACACTTTTCTACCAACATTTTAGGTACCATTATTATTACATCGTCAACCTGCAGTGCACTTTTTCGCCAAACGAGGTAAATAGCGTATTTTTAAACACAACAATATAGAATAGAATTATACTTACTCTGGGACTTTTTCAAAACTTAAAATATTCGAAGATAGAAGAATAATCGTATGCAGAAGAATTAATCATTAATGAGTCGCGCTCTACAAAATGAACTGCAATATTTTGTCAAAAATTAAAACTATATATTGTAAAAACAAAGGGATAGGCCGCACCCTCGAGTTCCTCCTGTAGTTGTAGTTTTACACCACTGCTGTTGATAAACGTCGCCGTTTTACCCGAAGCACATCTCGCACCTCATTTCGTATAATAATAATATTATTATTACATTGTATTGTATATACTCGCACGGAACTATATAACTTAATGGTACGACGTGTGTAACGCCGAAGGTAGGTATGATATCATATCATTATATGCATTATGACGAAGATAATAATAATATTAATAATATATTCCACCCCGTGCGATGACTCGGGTGGGAGCTTGCGTTTCAGTAGTGAAATATCGGTGGTGATAAGTCGTCAGCCGCGGGACAGTGAATAATCATCGTGCGCCGATCGTTATCACGGCCCGTGTAGGTATATATACTGTAACTTTACCAGTTTCGCGGCCAACCGAAATACGGTTAAAGCAGTCCAGACGAGTGACAAATAATGCGTAGGTATTAGACTTATAAGTAATGGAATTATGAGTAGGTAATAGGTATGAGTCGGATTAGTAATTATCAACAATACCAATATTACCGACAAAAAGAATGATTTGATTTTTTTGGTTATTTTATTCCACAATATATATCATATATGTATTATATTTTGTATATTATTCTGATTTATGATATGACATTTTGAAAATTTGAAATACACGACGATAATAATATATTAATGCACAATGAGCTGTTTATAGGTAGCAGTCTACGTTTTTTAACCCATATAGTAAGAAATGATTTGATTTGACAAACCAAATTCAATATATAATGCTCGTAGAAAATTATTTTATAAGCACGTTTCTCAGATTAACTATAGGTACCTCCAAAATTAAATTAACCCTAACCTGGCATAACCCGAAATTCTTCTACGTGTAGATGGAATAGGTACACTGTGAATTCCAAAAAAACGATGGAGCAAACAAAAATCACCATTCCTTAAGATTTTCTCATTACTACAATGTTAGTTTAGTCTAATTTTCTCGAACATAAGCAATGTAAAACTTTGAAACTTTAATTTTTAATTTGGGTATTTTTAATAATTTATAAGTAATATTCTACTCATGTCGTAGTACCTCCGCTGGGAGGCCTCTACATTCCATCCAATCTGCCTTTTTATTTTTCTTATTTTAACATTTTGACCCATCAATTGTTCTTATTATTCCTCTTTGTAACAGATTGAATAAAAAAAAAAAAAGTAATTTTAAAGGTTTTTTAATTCAATTTTTTTACATTTTATAGACATGAAGGAAAAAACTTTAAATTAGTGATTTGTAGTTGGTACTCATATATATATATTTGTAAACGTACCTAAATACATTTTATGTCTCGATAAGTCTAAACGGGTAATTTCAATTTTTTTCTAGTCTTCCTTTTCCAGTTATCGTTGTAGTACAGTAACTCATGAGTCACGATAGTCATCTAGAGATAATGTCACGTATTGATATGTATATATTGATGAGACCTTTTAATTTTATTTTTACCTTTGTGACACGTTTTTCAATGATATACAATATAGAAGATTCCATTTTCAAATATTGATTTTTTCATTCATCATACACTTTTGGACTGCTTAATATCCACACGCGTAATATTAGATCGTAACAGATAGAACAATCTGGTTTTTATTATCTAGTGTTTTACTTGTAATAATCTTGAGTAATTGTGAAATGGTGTTAATACGAAGTCACTTCGTCGACGGGTATAGAAAGGTTAGTAGTTGAAAATGTTATTGACAATTGTTCATCTTATATATGTTACTCCTACGCGGTTTTGTACCACTACAAACAGTGCATGATTTGAATACATCCGAACGATTCGTGTTCTTTTGACATTTGAAATTGATGTGCAACCTGATGAAGGCCTCTCGCAAACTTTTTTTTCTCTATTTGTTTATTGAATAGTATTATGCTACGTAAGCCATAAACCATTTACTTACTTATATATATACACACACATACACACACACACCTATATGTTTTTTTTAAATTATGTTAACGCTACGTGATTGTACGATTTGATATTACACCGGTCCATACTATATATATATTTTTTTAAGAAATCATAATTAATTTTGTCATTTTTCCTGACAATTTATCGCTTTCTACTGATGAAATACGTCGTGTAGTGCATAAACGTAATTTGTATTTGTAAACCGATACGGTCCTACTTTTGTTGATTTACATTG